TAGTAGTAGTAGTAGTAGGCTATGTACATTCTACTGAAAAATAGTTATAGGCACAATGTCTTCCAATCAAACCGGACTTTTATTTTGACGGGTTGCTGTGAATACTTTTACTGTTCTGTGTATGTGATATGACGCTAGTTTTACTCAAATCAAAGCTAAAATGCTCATGAAGTGACTCTCAGAGCAGTTCTGGAGATGTTGTTCATGTGTTTACATCCTCATTTAGTGAGACGGCAGACACTGAAATCAACGCGAGTGTCACGCGCGCTTCAGTGTGTGTGTGGTAAATGAAACCGCGCATCTGCGCCATTCATTAACAGAGACCGGCAGAACATGCAGGATTCATATTTAAATCGACTTTTGCAGCTTAATATTTACAGATACTAGTCCATATCGTGATTTGATTTAAGTGTAATGACCTACTTTTGATTAATTCATTCAACATTTGACAAATTCCGTGACATTCTGCGTTAAACTGTGAATTCTGTTTTTATGACTGGATAAAGACTACACTGCGTAATTTTCCAGCTTATCATGAGGCCACTTGCCTGATGTGAAAATATCTTACATACCACCACTTGTGAACGAGCCAGTGTAATGCAAATATATCTGAAAGGTCTGCGTGAGGATATCGTCACGTTCTCGCGAGACCAGTCAGATCTCGCGAGACACACCACGAGATCTCGTCACACCCCTAATAAATAACAAACACATTAATACAGAGTTCTGGCATGAAACTCTAGATGGCGCAGTCCGATAGGTCTAACTCAATCTGACCTAATGACATCATTATCACATGGCACAGCTGATTGGTTCTCTCCTGTATCGGTAGCCAATGAGCTCACTGCTCAGCATTCAAATATATGACTAGTGCTTGCAGTAGCAGTTGCAGCTTGCTTCAGAAACCCTCCACCTTCCCCAGCTCCACCTGTATAGATCTGCTTCAAGGTGATTCATGTATGCTATATGGGGGTTTTTTCATGTATGTTATATTTGCAGCAGCAATATTTCTTACATGCTCACAGCAGCATGTTGTGGATGTATTGGCAGTAGCAAGTCTCGGTACTTGCTCTGCCGCAGCAGCATAGCAGATCTATTCCGCCAAGACCAAATACATTAACATTGTCATGTACATTACCATGCCATGAGTTGTCATGACAGAAATGAGTTTAGTCCCTAAACCTCACTCATCTGGTCTGCTGCACTTGAAAAGCTCTGGCTGATTTCTTTATTGATATGATGCTCAAATTTGAATGTAGTGTTTCAGGAAATCAAGCTCACAGACTTTAAAGGGATAGTTCAGTCAAAATGATAATTCAGTTATAAATAATGATTATCCCTTTAAGGGCATGTACAGTGATAATTGCTTTTTTGACTATAGCCACAGTTTGGTGCAATACATGTATTTATGATAAATGCTGCTGTGAAATATATATACATTTCAAAAGTTTCTTTGCATTTTTTGTTAGGGAGATCTTCCCAATGGCCCTGCGAAATTCCACGTGCTCTTCCTGTTGTTTGTGGCGCTCATGTTTTTTGTCAGTCTCATGTTCCTGTTTGGCTATCACTGCTGGTTGGTGGCTAAAAACAGGTCCACGCTAGGTAAGAAAGCCTTTCTTCTTATGCTGAATTGCTGGGTGCTCCTTTACCCTTTCATTGTATTTCTTCAAGAAGCAGAAACTTCATAAAACTTCATACTGCTTGCTACATTTTGAGCTTGACCTTTGGTTAGCAGAAGTGATTTATGTGGCTCATATTTCTGGTGTGGACTGTTTAACCTCAAAGAACGTTCCTGTTTTTCAGAGGCGTTTTCTGCGCCAGTGTTTCAGAACGGGCCTGACAGGAACGGCTTTAATGTTGGGCTCAGCAGAAACCTCCGGCAGGTGTTTGGAGAGGATAAAAAGCTCTGGTTTATTCCAGTGTTCACAAGGTGAGCTCATGTCAAAACTGCTCACAGTCTGAAAGGATGAGAGAATGCATTAAACTGATCAAAATTTACACTGAAGACATAATGTTACAAAGGATTTCTATTTCAAATAAATGCTGTTGTAAATGCTTTTGTACTTTCTATTCTATTTCTTCATGAAAGAAACCTGAAAAAATTTTACTCAGCTGTTTTCAGCATAATAATAATAATAATAAATGTTTTTTGAGCAGCAAATCATAATATTAGAATGATTTCTGAAGGATCATGTGACACTGAAGACTGACGTAATGATGCTAAAAATTCAGCTTTGAAATCACAGGAATAAATTACATTTTAAAACATATTCAAATAGAAAACAGTTGTTTTAAATAGTAAAAAATATCTTGCTCAGTATCAATATTTTACTGATTTTGCTGTACTTTAGATCAAATAAATGCAGGCTTGGTGAGCAGAAGAGACTTCTTTAAAAAAAAAACTTTTGACTGCTAGTGTGAATATTTCCCATGTGTTGTGTTTGTCTGTTATAGTCAGGGTGATGGGCATTATTTCCCGCTGAGGACCCTGCGTGAATCTGAGAATCCTTTATTGGCCAACGAGGGGAAATGGATGGAGGACGGTGGATCAGATGAAGAAAGCGCAGGTGAGATTGCATTCAAGTTGAAATACATCTTTAAATACTGCAACTAAAGCTTAATATGTAATTTTGTACTTCAAGCACATCTGATATACTAAATGTGCCACTAAATGTCAGTTCTTCTGCAACTTAATTGCACTTCATTGTCATTTTGGAACATCTGATCATTTTTGGTTAAAAATGCTCAAGTCTGTAGGCAGTGGATTCTTTTATTTTTGCTTCTTTAGAAGGCTTGTATCATGAGGAATCAAACTGTCTTAATCTTTTGAGAAGATGTCATACACTAGACATGAGTGTGAGTTTAAGTGCATAGTGTATAGTATGTCAGTTGGGTAACAACATGAATAACAGCAACTGCTTTTCTTCACGGAAGTGTTGAGTTTTGAGCTAATAAAATCTGAATACAAATTGTACAGATCTTCACTGTTTTTACAGTTATAAGTGAATTTATATCTGCCTTTCAACTCAAACTTAGTGTTTTATTGTCCATTTCCATGAGACAAAATGTAATATTTAGTGGCACTGCACTCAGTGGTTAGTCTGGAGCTCTATATTTGGATTTCAAATAGAGGTGCAATATCTAATACAGGTGCAGTGTAATACCTGAACAATACAGGGTTTATGGACGTTTGGGTTCAGTAACATTTGATATTTAGTCATTTGGGTAACACTTTAGTATAGGGACCAATTCTCACTATTAACTAGTTGCTTGTTAGCATGCCTATTTATTAGCACTTATAAAGCTTAAAAATATACCTAATACCTAATCCTACCCAATACCTAAACTTAACAACTACCTTACTGACAGTTAATAAGCAGTAATTAGGAGTTTATTTAGGCAAAAGTCATAGTTAATAGTTTGTTAATAGTAAGTGTGACCGTCATGTGTTTCCTGTTTATATTGTTCAAAGAAAGCTCCTGTTAGACAGATTTTTAAACAAGTGTTAACTCTCTCCAATCCAATGTTATTTTCAGATGAAAATGGACCTTCAGTCATTATTAGGACGGAATCATAATCACTGGAGGGGATGAATACTCGGTGAGTATGGATTTTAGTGGCGAAGGCAAGCATTAGTCGATTACTATTAGCTCATATGTAGGGTAAGTCATTTAGGCATTTTCATTCCTCAAAATGATCTGGTCCTTCACAATAGTGATCCTGGCAACACTACTCAATATAAAAATCTAGATCTAGAAATCTAGTATTGAATCTATTCCCTGTTATTTGCTCATTTGTTCTAACACTAACATTGGTTTCTTATTTATTTGACTAGTGGGATCCTGGTTGACTTTAGCATCATGAGTAGTTTAAGAAACCACCAATCCTTGAATGAGACGACTGCATTCCAAATCCTGGATCATTCCAGAAAAGCCTGTTTCTAGAGAGCCAATTATATTGGGAACAGTGAGGATTTTCTTGTAATGCTGATTACTTAGAACTCATGCTGAATGTTATCAAGTGTATTGCTCATCTTTTATGAAGAGGAGAGCTGCAGGACAATCACTGACATTTCCAGATGTTATAGACCTGTTGGACTGTTTATTATCATGCTTTGATGAGAAAAGATGGACATCTCTGATGAAATATGATATACCAATATCTTCTATTTTTCTCTTCACATAGTGGGATAAATGTTTGAAAACTTGGACATGTCCAGATCATACTTCTCCCCAAAACAAAGTGAGATTAAATTAAGCCTGTTCATTGTCATGCCCCTGGACTGTATATGTGTGTTTTTCCCTCCATGTGCCTGCCCTGACCTAGTTTTCCCATGAGTTTGATTGTTCATTAGTTCCAGGTGTGTCTCGTCATCCCCTCGTCAAGTCATGTGTATTTATAGTGAGTCCTGTTCTGAGTTTCGTCGTCTGGTATTAAATGTTCGTCTTTCCCTGCTACGTGTGTGTTCCTGGTTCGTTTGAAGTTTACTACTCGTCTACTTGTTCCTCGCTCCGTGCTCCTCACAGTAGCGATCGTGACAGAATACCAGACTGAAACAGTTACCTCCGTGTGTTCCCTCCGTTTTTGTTTCCGTTTTTCCTCAGTGTTTTTAGTTTCCGTTGTGTCCATGGACCCCGTCCTTCGTCCGGAATACCTCCTCCTGCTGGAGCAGGGGGAGAGATCACTCGAGGGCCACACCAGACTGTTCCTGGTGCTCGCCAACCTCTCCAGCTACCCGGACGACGCGCTCTATGCATTCTATGATGCCAGTTTAAACTCCGCGTACAGAGTGCCGTCGTCCAAGGAAGGCCCTCGAGCGAATTTCGCCGCATTTGTGGAGTGGACACTCCGCAGTGCCAGTGCCCAGCCCACCATCTCCCAGCTGCGCGGAGCGCATGCCCGAGTCCACCGCTGACGGAGAGCCCGAGCTCGAGCTGCAAGTGAAGTCAGTCAAGGTGCGAGAGCCGGCAACACAGAGCCTGCACTGCTGGATTTCGAGGGGGACCTTATAGATTGGGAAACAGAGGGCTCCAGTCTCCGAGTTTAGCCCAGAGAGGGCTCCAATCTCCGAGTTTAGCCCAGAGAGGGCTCCAGTCCCCGAGTTTAGCCCAGAGAGGGCCCCAGTCCCCGAGTCTAGCCCAGAGAGGGCTCCAGTCGCAGAGTCTAGCCCA